GGGATTTGGATTGATTTAAGGAGAATTATTCTGGATTTAAATTTGGAGCCATTTGAAGCAGAGTCTGTTCCTCTTACATCCAAACCCCTATACACACACAATTTCCTTAGTTGGCATAACAATCATGTAAGATAGGCATTGTGAAATTAGTATGTCATGTATAGAGACCAGGGGCAGGTTGTTCTTTGGGGACAGCAATGTTCAGCCCCATCGGAACTTCATCCTGTTCAATGAGTTCTTTCTACGTTTTACTTCCCTCCAGCTCCAAGCGTGGCAGTGCACTTAACTAGCACCAGTCCTGGCACCAGCACACACCAGAACCGGAGGTACGTACAGCACTGTGCAGAGGGGAGATCCCACTCGATCCTGACCAGCTAAAAGCATTAAAACTGCTACTGGTAAAAAGATGTAAAAAGATACAGACGGATCGTCTATGGCTCCCCACAGAGGCACTTGCAAAGGTGAAAAGGAAGGCAGGGCATCCCGGTTCTGAATTTCTATTTCTTTTTACAGAGTATAGTTCCCCAGGCACAAGGTCAGTGTGTAGGTATTGAAGGACTCTCAGGATGCATCTGTGTACAAACATGTATAAAAGATCACTAACCTTCAGTGGGGGTTATAATAACAATTACAGTTATGAATTTAATCTGTCTAGAAAGAAGTGCATGATGTACTTTTTCAAGAAAGATTTTTTTTTTTTAAGAAATGGATAGTAACATATCTTTTCTTGCTGAACTGTAAACACAAACTTCCAAAAGCAAATGTTAATATAAGTTCCAGGGTAACAATTTCAGGCTTGATTTTCTTTGGCAATTCAATCTGCATGATGATTTTGATCAAATGCCTCGGCTTCTAACATAATTCTAACATTAACACATGATAAAATGCACACACAAAAGCTTATATTTAGATAATCATATATGAAGTTGAATGCACACTGTGACAGAATATGAATTATCTAACAGGCCGCAGAGTAACACAAGTTCAGTCTGGAAGACAGATACAAACACTGAGCGCAGTTTAAGCACTGAAGGTAAGAGTGTAATCCTTTGCCTGCTTTAATAAAAACTATTTAAAATTAACAAAAAAGGGTAAAATAAAATAAACTGTTCAGAGCTTGACATAAGACATCTGGCTGAAAACTCATCACTAATTGTTTTAAGATTTACACCATTGAACCAAGATGATTTAAAACAGTGATTCACAATAAATAAGGTACTGAATTTAACTCGGGTACAAGCTACCATTGGTAACTCTTGTACTCGGTCTAGGCCTTTGTGGGGCTGCAGGTTCAACGTCTTTATCTGCTCCTTGACCATATGACGGGAGATAGTGAATAACATTAATCATTGGACCTTCCCTCACCCTTTCCTCTGTGGGGTGATCACATCTAATGAAAATTCGAGCTGTGCTGGTGAACTGAGATTGGCAAAAGAGTCACTTCTTCTTTGCCTGATTGGATATATATGCAGCTGGTTTTGGAGTCAATTCTTGTGTGCGTGAAATTGAAAGGTGCTATTTTTAAATGCTCCTCTATGTATGCAACGGAATTTAGTCACCTGCAATGTCATGGCCAAGAAATACAAAAGCTGCAAGACTATGAGCAGTACACTTAGAAAATCAAATGAATGCGCCTGCTTAATATCTTGCCTTCATCAATTTTTTTTAAAACTCAGGCAGTTCTTCTGTGTGTAAACGTTTCTACCTTTTGTTACAGGTTCCTCTTATCACAAAGCACTATGTTCAGTTTAAGGCTGGCCCAAAACAGCTGTAGTTGCTGGTTAAATTTCTTGCCAGGCTTGGAGGTTTTTCTTCTGTTTTTATGTTCATTTTTAAAGGAAATCGTTTAATTTCTATAATATAGAAAAATGAAATACAGCTATGTATTTTCTCGTGTTTCTGGAATTCTAAAAGGGTTTCGGGACCAGGCTGTTCTGTTCTTAATTCATTCCTTGCACTTTGATCTATGTATGCCTGCTGGTGAGAAAACCATTGTCGGTATCTGGGGGGAGGCGGAGAGCTAAACCCCAGCAGCGTCCCCGCACGCACGACGCCTGCGGCACGAATGGTTCTGGGGGAGGGCTTAGAAGTAGTGCAAGGCACAGCCGCATCTATTGTGCCTCTTTTTCTGAGGGCAGCAAACCTTCCTGTACCAACCGGACCCTGCTGACCGCTGGGCCTATGCAGCATAAACCCTGAATTCAGTAAGATAACAGCTGTTATCACGGCGCTTTTTATCTGGGAGGCGAAGTCTAAAATTGCATCTGACCTCTGTACGCACGGAGACGCAAGTGATGAGCGCTCCGCCTAGATCCTCAAAGGTTTTAGACGAGATCAGTAAGAGTGAGGTACCTAAATGAATACTTCTGAGGAGACTGGCTTCTGTGTCTTTTGCCCGTCTGTGGTATGAGGGAGACTACGAACAGTAATTTATCAAATGATGTACTGTGAGCCTTAGAAAACACCACAAGACTTCAGCGTTGGTTTTTCCCAAATAGGATTACTAATATATAAAACTAAGACACTCCATTTACTAATACAATCATACAAGTAATTAAACTAGCTATGGTATAGATTTAACTTATTTATTTATAGGTCAAGCTTCTGGTTGCCCTAGGTTTTTAGCAACAAAGCTCCATAAGAATAGATTTTTCTTAATAATGCCAAGAGGCTATGTATAACAAAAAGTAAACAAACACGTATCGGTCTGTTGAGTGCGTGTGTGTGTATCCATCTTTGCATATATACATTTCTGTACAGCACAAGCTCAGGCAAACAGATCAAAACCACACGCAACATGTCCAGACAAATCATCTTTTTGAGCTTTGCTCAAATTGGCACGCTACAAAATTAAATGAATTGGAATTCTGTTCCTCCATGAAAAGACTTGAAATGAGATTTAAATCAGTGTGTGCTTGGTAAAACATGGCAATTTGATGTCTGTTCCATAAAGCTGACAACCGCATCTAGTTGTTTTTCTTCTGAATTTGATTAGATAATTTAGTCAAACTTGGAGAATATCTAACCGTTACACAATCAGACTGAGATTTGTTCAGAAAATTACCACATAGTGAGGGAAACTTAATTAGTTTTGTCAGCAAATATAAAGGCACTAGCTTGCATTTCCAGAAACTGTCTAAAGCTTTTACAAATACTCTGATTCAGCTAAAATCAGGCTAATTATATGTTGGGCTCCATAAATCCTCATTAAAAGAACATTATTGGGGTTATAATGTCCAAACCTGAAAAGATAGGAAATACTGCATTTAATAAGCAATTGGTTTGACAAGCTGGTATATATATTATTATATTAATTATATGACTGTAAAATTTGCTCCACAGACCTGCCGACCTGTTCAGTATCTCAGCTACTTAACATCTTTCTTAGACCCGCTGTGTGGACATGGAGTTTACTGTACTTTATTCAAATTCTACTGCAGAGAATCATAACCTCCTGTAGAAGGACAACCTGCTTCTACATAAGGGGTGCAAGGCAGAGGGAGAGCCTATGATTTCTGAGTGCTTTTTTGAGATACCTAGGATCTGATTTTTCAAAATATGAATAATCGAGAACTCTGAGATTTGAAACACTACTTCGCCTGCTTTCTGCTGCAACTGTAAGTGCTCAATACTTTTGTGAATCAAAACTCAAGTGCAAGTATCCAGAAAATGGGAGTACAGTTAACAACCACATGTGAAAAGTACGGTTTAAATAACCTGCCAAATATAAACAGGAGCTTTCTGGCAGAAGCTGAGAAAGTCCAATTTTCTCAGGTAACATTTCACTGCGTTGCCCATGCAAACTTCCTTTCTCTTCATGTACTAGCTTTAATGCTAACTGGTGAATTATCACAATGTTTCCTGAAATTCTTTATTTATTGGTTTTCTTTCCAGATATATTTGCTGAATTGTCACAAGCCCAGATTTTCTACTTCAGAGGTACTCATCGCTTGGAGAGGCAGCGGTAATCTCTAGCTTTGTTGGGTTTTTGTTTTGTTTTTAAAGTTATGAGGTAAGATTTGCCTTTGTTTTAGAGCATTTAAAGCATTTGTGTGGCTATATGGCCAATTTTATACTATTTGACTAATTGGTGTCAGTAATTACATTCTCACTCTTAAAAATCAGAAGCAAGCTCTTGTAGAAATCTCTTTAATGTGTGTGTGGAAGAATGCAGAGAGGCAGGGAGGAAAGGTGAAAGAAGAACATGGGAGGACTCTCCAGAGTTTCCGGAAGTAGATGATCAAAACAGTTATAAAGAATAACTCTTAAGTTATAAGTAATAAATTTACTGCAAAAGAAATTCGCAATAAAAGTCTAATCCTGTAGACACCAATGTGGTATTTCCACTCACTTGTTTACAAGGCCCGTTAACCAGAAGAGAAGCTAAATATACAACTAAGCATTGAAACAACATCTGCGCTAGCAATATTTATGCAAAATTTCAGCCCTTATTTTTAAGGATGCCAAGTATACTTCCGTTTTTTTTACCTTTAGCTTTTGTCTAGTTTTCACTAATTGTAACAGGTAATGAGCCAGCGTTCTGCAGCTTTGTTGTCCAGGGACATAGTTTTAAAGTATGAAAGCATAGTTAAGTTACTCAAGAAGTTGAAGTTTAATACAGAAAAAAGTGAACATGCAGAGAAATCACCTTTTGTCTTTTAGCAAGAATTTTAAATTTGGAGTTAATATGCTGATGTTTTAGTATACAAAACTTATTTCACGGTTGGCAAGACACGCATATTTACATATTGCAGTGGGAGCTCCTCCAGGCATTAGCAAGAGAAAGAGAGCGGACACTGAAAACATATTGAAATAAATGGATGGCACAGTCAATTTACTGTCCTCATCTGGGAGTCTCCAAAAAGGTTCAGGCAGTATGGCGTTCTTACAGCTCGTAGAGCGTTTCGCTCATTTTCTGCTCTTAAGTAGCTGCACGTGATAGCATACAGGCGCAGAGGCAGCAAAGTTGCAGGAGAGGGGCGACTCTCAGAGTTACTTACGTTGACAGCCCAAGCTGTGCCAGATATATCCCGGCAGACACTTATCACATTTAGGCCCTGATGTTCCCTCCTTACACTCACAAAATCCTCTGTCATTACAGCGATCATGGACTGAACCAAAAGGGTTACAATAACAGTCTGCAGAAACAAGACAACACATACACACTGGATTCAGGTCTACATATGGTGATAATTCATTCAATACCAATAAAGGGTGCATTTCCAGCGCTAAAGGTAAAGGAAGACTGTCTGTTAAGGATATCTAGAGTAGTGAACATAACTACTATAGGTCCATTTATTTGTTTGCATATGTCATTTCAGGAAGAGGCATTTTATGATGGGAAGAGAAGAAGTAAACGGAAAAGATATAAAGGCAGAAGATACCATGTTCTTTGAGGATAAGCGATTGTAACAGATTCTCTTTTGGTAAGAATGTTTTTGACAATTTAATGAACATTAAAAAGGCTTTGTATAGTACGGATATATCAATGTGCCGTCAAGGTGAAACGTTCCGCATTATTAAAATAGGCTTATCTATAGTACGCAATATTTTCGGAAGTGCTGAATGTCTTTACAGGGCTATATAAATGCACTTTACTTATTTCCAAGATAGTCTTCCTTTATGGTTTTGAGCAGTATAATAATCTATGTGGATATTTGCCATTAAATTGATGAGATTGTATTTATCAGTGACATTAATAAACCTTTTACATATTCCACAATGAAAAGCTTGAGGTGAGCAGTAACGTAATGCAAAACTTATCAGAACTGGCTTTACGCTGCTATTTTCATTTCTCTCACCTCCCAGTGGGCAGATGGAAAATGCAATGAGGCTCATAGCCCACTGTATGTTTTCCACGTGTGTTCGCCTAATTAAAGAATGACTAGGGTAACCCATTCCCTCCCACAACACTTACTGTGTTGTTCGTTCACAGCCCTTTTCTTTACCGTGATTACAGTATCTGTGTTCAGCTTTCAGCTAGCTGAACAAAGAAAACAAGACAGTAGCTAGCAGAGCTCATTTTTGGCACTCCTGTCCTTCAGTACATTTATTATTAATTTTTTTTTAAATGAAGGGCTGTATCTTATTTGTATGTAGACCCATGTAGACCCAGAGTAACTCCACTGTCAACTGAGACCACAGACATATTTTGGCAGCGTCTGATCTCTGCTGCTGTTGAAGGCAAAAGATACACAAATCGATTCCTGAATCTGGGCAACCTGCTGGGAGTCTGGCTTTATATGTCTGTGAACCAGTGCTATTTTGATGACTGCCTTTGGCAATTGTTCCCTAGCATTAGGTTAAACCTCAGTGATACTGTAAATGACAAAATGGAGTTGAACTGGGAAGTGAAATACAAAAAAAATTCCAAAGGAAAAACTGTAACAGGAAAAAAATTACCAGGAAGACATTTGTCATCTGTTGTCTCAGTGTTTATTAACTCTAAATTACAGATGGCTCTTTGAACATTTGGCATGCTGAAGAAGAATAGTTACCTTTGGCAAACAGAATTCCACGATTATTATTAGAGTCAATTAGCTAGCAACATTCATTAATAAAGTTGAAAACTGACACGCCAAAAATACTGTGCAAGGCTGAGCAGAATTATAGCACAGTGAGTGCCATTTGAAAAGCTGGCAATTCTGATGTTAATCAGATGTATGAAATATTTATGTAAACAGGCACAGAACTGAGATAGACATTGAATGCAGGAAGTAAAATTTGCTTGAAGTGTTTACAGAAAACCTTGAAAAACAAAAAGCTTGGAATTACATTAGGAACAGAAGGCCCGATTCTTGTACATTAAAAATAGCTTAGTTGGACATAATGGAGTTACAGTGATTTAAACAAGTGTTTGTGAAAGAAATCTGTGGCCTGCGATATTGAACGTTTATAGACACATAACGTTGTATTTTCCAGAGAACAAGAAGCTGACCCTGAATCAGTGAAAGCTTTCCTACTGAACTCTGTAATATAAATACGTAAGAAGTACCAGGCCCACATTGTGCTGTTTAAGGGAAAGCAGATAGTGGAAACAAAACTTTAAGCCAGGCCCTTTTACAAAAGTAGTAGATCAAATCAGAACACCACACAGACCCCGTAACCTTTAGTAACTGAACCTAGCCTCCATCTTTCCCAATGCGCAATTGATACCATAGATGTATAACCTACAGAGGTCCACCGAACATCCAAGCTCGTTGTCCAACACAGTATCACAGGCTGTGGAACACTTCCCAAGACCTGCCGAATACTTAAGACATTAAAAATCTCAAAAGCCACAATTCTGGTGTGCCACAGGGAGGCAGTCAGCATCTCCAATGCCCTTACAACAGGGCATTAAATAACATTAAATTAGCATTCCCAGATCACCCTAATAAGCAGAACACGCACCAGGTTCCAGGGTGGGGAAAAAACCCCTGCAGATCTGAACTGGGAAGGAATTTTCCTCTTAACCTCCATCTGGTGACTGTCTGAAGGATGGGAAGATGACAGTAGTAGTCATCTGTTCACTGAGATTCACTATATCAGTGTGATGCTGCCAACAAAACACAGTGAAAATCAGTAAAAAAGAAGGTTGGGAAAATGGGCTGAAGCTTGCAGGTTTGCTGCTTATCAGTCTGGGTTGACAGTGGCTACAGGACAACCCTGAGGGTTCACTCAACCATGTATCGTTAGGGTTTCTAAAGGTCTCACAGGTGTTAACTGAAGCTTAAGCCTAAGTGACTGCAAGGTTGGCTTTCTTATAGGTGTGACAATAATTTCCATTTCAGTATTTACGTTGTAAGGCAAAGGAAATGTTTTATTACTCTGGGTCTACTTGGTGGTTTCCATGCTATCCATGCTTGCCAGTGCGTGTATTCACTGAAATAGAGTTACTATGACTTTATCAAGACCTTGTAAAAATAAAAAGCTCTTCAAGTTGTAAAATTATTTTTCACTGTAAGCATGTCAAGTGAATGATTTTTAACTTTAAAATACCTTGACTTATTTAGAAACTGCAGTTGCCCATATGAGGTAATTTTGCAGTTAACTGACAAATCCACAAGTTTTTGGTATTTCATTTTGGGAAATAAAATTTATTTTGCTTCTAAAGAAATTAAGGGCATAATGAAATTAGATTTAAGCCCACTGTATAATGAGTTGCATTTGGTTCACTGGTAAAAACCTTCTCAGTATTTCAATTCTTTGTAACTTGTCAGTTTTAAAAATGAAACATTTTACATTTTTACATTTAGTTAGCATCGGCTGAGATTCACAGATTTGTTATCCATGTACTTACCATATATATTTATGAAAAGTATATAAGTAGTTTTGATAAATCAGAGCCAAAGCCCTGTTAGCTGCCATTAAACTAGCTTATCCAAACATTTTTTACTTTTCTACATATATGGCTGAAGAGGAAAGAATTAGCCTGGAAAAATGAGACTTTCATACGGGAATAAGACTTGCACAGGTCACTGGAAATCTGCGTATTAAAATGTTCATGCCAATATTCCACTCATACTTAAACCCCCAAACACTGCTTTTAAACTCAGAGAGAAGAGAAATGAGCGTTTCCAATAGAGCAAGACTCTTTGTGCTTGACCTAGAAGGATGGTGAATCCATCAACCTCTCTCAGAGGTGAAAATACTCTACGCTTTGCAGGATTAAATCTTGGGAGCCCCAGGTCCTAAGCACTTTAAGCACAAACTTCTGTGTTTTCTGAAAAGTGCTTAGGTATCTGCTTCACTTCACTGACTTTAAACAAGAAGTAGCATGAAATTCGTCTTAAGTTGGCAAATCAGCTAGGATACATACATTTTGTATGCAGTATGATCACTATGACCCTGAAAACTGTCTTAGTCCAACAAGAATATTATTTATTTAAAACAAATTACCTAATATGTAGCAAACCAGGGTTTGATCCTATAGTCATCTCACATGGAACGATTCTCATGGGAGCCCAAGAGAATTCTGCTTGCATTAAGGTGGGAAAGTCACCAAATACCTCACATTGCCTTTTTTTTGTTGGCCTTTTTTTTTAAGACTCCTGTTAAATGAAAGGTTTTTAAATTTTATTTCTGCAGAGCCTGGGCAATTTCGAAGTGCACAGTTGTTTTACTAAGACATTCTAAATACATCACTTGCAAATTAATTTAAAATTTACTTATTTTTGACTCCTGGTGTATTAACTTCCTTGTCTCACGTAGCTACAGCTGCTGTCTTAGCATTTCAGCGTACGTGGGAAAACAATTTACTGAATGAGCTGATGAAAAATCCCAAACAGAGTAATTTAGGCCTATTTAGGCAGCTGAAATTATACAGCCCTGAAGTCATACCGATGGTGTCCGTCATCTATATCAAACAAATATGAGGGACAGCGGGTCTTTTCCAAGAACATTTGGTTGGGTTAATCTCCTCAGCACAGTCATACAAAATCATGACTTGCCTACTAAAGTTCTTACTAGCTCAGACTAATTAATGTCAAAGGAGATCATGCATTTTCTGAATGTGTTGCCAAGCAAAGTTAAAAGAAGGACACGTGAAATGCAGTGCGTGGATGGATCTGGGTGTTTATCACAAAATAAAATGTAAATCTGTCAAGCTGCAGACTGAAACAAATAATAGCAACCTAAACAGCTTCTGGCTTGAATCTCGGCAATGGATTATAAAGAATATTAAAATACAATTTAGACACCCGTAGTCTATTTTGGCATGAAAAAATCTTACAACTACTCATTCTTTTTGCTTCCTGGAAAATGGAAAGAAAAAAAAAAAATCACAGTGAAAATCCAGAACAGGTTCTACCGATGCTTATGTCTATAAGAAACATTATATAATAAATTCTCCACCTCTGTTTGTTAGTAGAACAGCGCCTTTTGTGGCTACCTGTTAACTGCCGGCCATCGTATGAGGCTTCCTTTATTGACTACCTTCAATCTTCGCTGAAAGTGTCCTAACTTTTGCTATATACTGTCTGTGGTGACATGAGAACAATGCATATTCTTCTAGTGTGATAAAGACCTTATGTTTTTTCCTGATATGCTTTTTAAATTACGTTCTAGCATTTTCTTTACTTCTGCATTTTGGATATTTATAGCAGGTGCTAGGTCTAAAGCACCGTTTTCGCCTAGGAATCCCTTTTCTAAGTAGACATCATGTCAAACGGATTTGACAAATTCTGCTCCTAACCACATGGGCACAATTTCAGTCTCCCCTCTAAGGAGAGGGGAGGTAACGCTGCATTTACAGCCCTGTGCCTGGGAGCAGAATTAGCTGCAACAAGTTTTTATGAAATTTAAGTGAATAAAAGGGGTTTATAAACACCACTCCCCGTGTCCTTTTGATGCAGCTGGCAACTTTTGTAGGTCTCCAGGCAAGTATTCAAGAGTCTGTACTAATAATTCCGAAAGTTAGACCAGGAACAGGTATTTATGACTCAACCCTTCAGTTTTCACATGCGCAGCTCCAGTGTGGCTCCCTCCTGCAGAAGGACAGCACAGTTTCTCAGGGGCTTCCTAGGAGGGTCTTCCCAGGACCTTAGCCAGGGAGGTTCATCGTCATCTACGGATTCAAAATACCTCCTTGGGGCTACAGGGGCAACGGCAATGAGGTGAAAAGTCTACACAGATGTTCTTATCCATTGAAAAAGCTCATTCTGGCTCAACTGGCAAGTAAGCAGCAGTGGTCCCTAGCAGCTGCCAGTAGCGGAAAAGGCACAGAAGAAAAGCCGCAGTTATCCCGGGACTGACCTATGCACACATTTTCATCGTCCAGCTCTGCAGAAGCATTTCTGAAGTAGCCCAGCCTGCATAACTCACAGTGCTGACCTCTAGTGTTGTGCTTACAGCTCACGCAAATGACCGTATTGAGCAGCTCGATGTAACTGCACCGGTTGGAGTGCCCGAAGCATTCGCAGTCTTTCAAGGAAGAACAGAAATGTATACAAAATGTATACAGCAGCAGAGTAATAGCACATTACATGCTTAGTAAAAATGAACCATGAATAGAAGTATGAATGAATGGCACATACATGTTAATCAATGTAACATGGACAACAGCAGATGTTTATCTGCAATGAAAGCGAAGTTTGTTTCAGGCAGGCTAGCGTGACCCGACGACCATGGCATGACGTCGCAGGTTGGCTGTTGGTGGCGGACCTGATGGAACTGAAGCATTTGCAGTTGTAAACCTTTCAGGGTTACTGGAGGCTCAGTTTCCGCTGACAGAAATGCACATCTTTTTGCACATTTGAGATGAGTATAAATCAAGACATGGGAAAAACTTCCTCATATTAAAAATATTAAATACAGTGGACAAAAATTGTCGGGCTTCATCATGCCTAAATGCGCAACTGTAAGTAAAATAAAAGCTTTGTTCTGACATAAATGGTGAGTATTCAAAAATACTGCCGTACTTGGGGTACTGTAACTGGTAGGCACCTTGGGAACCAGACTATTTTATTTCAAGACCAAACAAATCTCTAGTTTGACAATTTTGGCCAGCACCTCCTAAAACAATTAACAGAGAAGAAAAGGAAAGGAGAGAGGTGTTATTTAAGAGCTGCTTCTACTGTGCTTCTGAGGTAAGCATTAACCCATTGTTTATATTCTGAGATGAAAAACAATTGGGCCAGAAAAGATCATGAAAATTCTGAAATGTGTACTGAATAGAAAGCACGCTTACTGCAGCCATCTGAAATGCAGCTGGCATGACAGCCGCTTTTTAAAAACCCCTTCATTAAGCATAGAATGCTAGCGCCTTTTAGTCTTTAATCACAAGCAATGCTTGGTTTTATGCGGAAAGAAGTAGAAATTAGAAATGTATCAATATCATTCTAGAAGGCACAGCTATGCTTTGTGTAGAAAGCTTGTCTAAGTCTGATCACTCAACTCTGAGATTATGAGCCCAGGATGAATGCAGGAAAGGTTATCAGGAGGATCAGAGAAGTAGAGAGCCTATTTAAGGAGTGAAGACTAGGATAATTTGGCTTGTTTAGTCCAGGAAACTGAAGACAAGGGATATCACCGGGCTATAAATACATCCAGGAGATAGCCTTCTGCCATCCTAAGTGAGTATCTGCACTAACAGACAACACCGGCACAAGAACAAATGGGTGTTAACCCGCCGTTGAGAAATCTCAGCTGGAAATTAGGAGATGGTATCTAGCCTTTAGGGCACTGAGGTTCTCGAACACTCTTCCAATTTGTAGCAAAACCACTGATGCTTTAGAGATGTAGTTTATTAACTGGTGAAAGAGATTATGGTGTGTTTCCTGCAGTAACGGAGTACTGGATGCAGCGACTTGGAAGGGCTTCAAGGTCTTGAGCTTTGTGTAGAAAGCTTGTCTAAGTCTGATCACTCAACTCTGAGATTATGAGCCCAGGATGAATGCAGGAAAGGTTATCAGGAGGATCAGAGAAGTAGAGAGCCTATTTAAGGAGTGAAGACTAGGATAATTTGGCTTGTTTAGTCCAGGAAACTGAAGACAAGGGATATCACCGGGCTATAAATACATCCAGGAGATAGCCTTCTGCCATCCTAAGTGAGTATCTGCGCTAACAGACAACACCGGCACAAGAACAAATGGGTGTTAACCCGCCGTTGAGAAATCTCAGCTGGAAATTAGATGGTATCTAGCCTTTAGGGCACTGAGGTTCTCGAACACTCTTCCAATTTGTAGCAAAACCACTGATGCTTTAGAGATGTAGTTTATTAACTGGTGAAAGAGATTATGGTGTGTTTCCTGCAGTAACGGAGTACTGGATGCAGCGACTTGGAAGGGCTTCAAGGTCTTGAAGTTAACGTTGCCTGGGATTAGATAAAGCTGTAGCAGAGGGTGTAAAATGTTTCCATACGTGACAGGGCCAAGTCCCCTCTGCTGCCTTTCCTATGGTATGCTGCCGATTATGCTGGGGCACCTAATGAGCCCACCGATTGTCGGCATAGGGCGTCAGATACAGTATCTGTGCCTGTCTGTATTTTTATGAAGAAACAGCAATACCAGTACGTGTTTATGAGTATGTTGTGCACAGCTAATACATACGTATTTCTTTGGCTGTTGTCTGATGTAGGGGACTGTAAATAGATAGCGTCTTTTCTTATACTGTACAACGCTTAGCACAACATATGTTTCAATGTTGAGAGCTGCCTTTCTGCTGCCAGGAAACATTAATTCCATTTACATATACACATTTAGTTAACACAGATGCATTCTTGTTCTCTTCAATGTTATACTGCTAAACCGATGTTTTGTGGTTCACGCCAATCTGATAATTCCGATGCCTGTAACTGCTGGAGTACAGTGAAACATTTGGTGAATCAGTCTCAGTGTGTTACCACTTGACGTTGAGGGGGGAGGAAAAAAGTGTTAATGTTTGTTGCCTTTCGCAGCTGGTCAGTATGATTCAGCATCTCAGCCAGCCACCCCGCAGCACCCCATACTGGTATGTTTGTCAGACTTGTGGCTAAACTTAAACGTACTGCAGGTGAATTTAGAGGAAATAATTTACCTTGTTTTTCAAATCAGTAATGGGCAGCAGAATGCTACCTTTTTATGTTTCAAAAATATGCAGACTATAAAGAAGTGCCAGTAAATCAGACTATGCTACATCATGTTTTGTGTTTAAAGTAGCAGAAAGAAATTGAGAATATTCTGTGAATGAATGACTGCACTACTTCCACTCTGAAACTGTGATGCGACCTTCAATAATATTACTACCACACATAATTAGCCGTTACAAAAGCACAGGAAACAAAGCTGTACATAAAGTAAGGCTTGCTCCAAGTTATGATTTGGACTGAAGAAACATCTAATAATTACGAAGGACTTACGTTTAGGAGCATGTCTGTATATCAAACTACGCAGAAGGACCACCCAAGTTCAGATGTGGCTCACCAACTTTAAAGGTAGACAATGAGACCAATTCTTATACATGGTTGCATTCTTATGGGTACTGCTCTTCTGTAACAACTGTGCTGTGTGAAAGAAAGCCCTTGTCTCCAAGCTAACTTATACTAAGATACAGGAAAGCTCTAGGCATCTTGATCATCAGACTGGTAAATGCTACATGGTATAGGAAAACGCCCAGTTAACTCAAAAACAGTCTAATGTCAAAGATTAGCAATGGCGCCAAGGAAGAAAAAAAGGCATGGCAAGTAACGATTAAATCAATTTTTTGCTAATTTTTGCCGCCCTCCTCCCATTTTGCTAATGCAATAATAAGAACTTATTTTGCTTACTGCTGTTGGCCTGATCAGTGAATCATTTTTACATCCCTCTGTGTTTATAACAAAAGCTATGTAAAGGGTCCTCATATGATTGAAATGGAATTATTTTCTCCACTGGCTACATGAGGTGCTACCCTAAACCAGTCAAACATAACATGTAGAACTGCATTCAGCATCATGCCAGCCGGGAAGCTAATACCTGTCAATGCTGTATGGCCTTTCTAGCTTATGTGGTTCACCTTAACCAGCACACCAAGCCTGCTCATTGGACTTGTCAGAAGCACAGCTTAAGGTCTTTCAGGCACATGTCTCCGGCTAGCAGCCCAACCACTTTCATGCACTGGCAAAGCTATGCAATCGCTGAAAGAGATGGGGGAAAGTATCAAAATCAGGCTGCAAATGGTTTACCTTTTCATTTCAACAATGAAATGACGTGAGCTTACAGCGCTAGAGAATGCTGCTTTCAGTTCTGAGTACCACATGTCAGAAAAGACACAGATAAACTGGAGACAGTTTAAAGCAGAATAACAATAAGGAGTAAATGGTTTGGAAAATAAAACCTCAGAGGAGAGGTAAAGATAGCTAGATAGGTTTAATGTGAAGGGAAAAGGGAGAAGAGGAAGCCACGTTAGATTTGATAATTGTCTTTGGATGATTCAGGAATTGTCAAATCCTTTGCCAGCTCACAGAAGGATTGACTGTATGAGCCTTTAAAGACTATTTCCAACACAATGATTCTATTGCAACAATCTTGATCCTGTTGTAGAAAGCATGATAAAATTACCCGTTGAAGGAGGCTCATAAAGAAGTTGATTGTTTAATTGTTTTGTTTCTATAAATGGAATACTTTTTTCCCCCATTATAATGCTACGCATTTACGTCTTTGAGATGACATACTATTGTGCTGTGGGGACAAGGTTCAGCTGGAGCTTCAGCTGCGACCAGTGAAACATCATCACATGAAACAGTGGTAAACACGCATGGAAGGGAAGCGTAATTTTAAACTGAGGCAGGTAATGCAGGAGACAGCTATCAGTGTCATTTCCTAATTAAAAGCACAAAAAGTATTTCAAGAAAAGTGCATTCAGAAACCATTAAAATGTTTTTTCTTTTTCTTTTTCCAGTAACTCTGTGTTCCTCCTCTATGCACTAACAAAAGGCAAACAAAGGAGATTTCATTGTAACCTTGGAAATGACCTGCTTCATAACAAACAGTACGGCTCGTTATCATGATCTCATTGAATGGGTCACACTAAGTTCAAACATTTGTTAATATCCCTATTCCCTGTTAACATGTATTTCATGAATAACGAGATATCCACAATAGCTACAGAAAGACAAAACATCTTTATACATACTCTTTACAGATAAATTGATGAGGAAGAACAATGAGAAGATCTCAGGGTTCAGACTGTGAATGACAGATATGCAAATGAAACAGGCTGCCTGTAAGTCAGAGCGAATATTGGCGTCCTCCGTTATGCCCGTATAATTCCATTGTTTTGATAAAACACTGAAACATCAGCTCAAAATGTAATGCCTACACTCCGAATTTGCACACTGTTACAATAAAATGAAGATGTAAGGCACACTTACAATGCATTAAAAGACATAACTATGCATTACACTCCATGGCATTTACAGATACTTCTTGAGGATATGGACGATGACATTTAATGTATTGTTTGCC